ATTGTTTTATGTTATAACATTTTGTTTACTTTTTTTACATTTACTTATTTTACCCTTTTTTCCATTTGCTTTTTGTTACGTTTATCTATTTATGTTTGTTTTTGTTTTTATGTTTACTTTTTTTAGGTTTATGTTTTAAAAATTACATTTATGTTTGCCTTTTTAATGTGTGTGTTTTTTTTGTTTGTTTGTTTTTGTTTTTTACATGTAACGATTTCTTAACATTTTTGGTATTTTATATTTTTAAAAAGTGAGTTTCAGGCTTGCTTATTCATTTTTGCAAATTGCAGATGTTTGCATGTGTTGGCATGTAAATGTTGAGTGTACAGCATATGATGTGTGTGTGTGTGTGTGTGTTTTTTGGGTAGGGCCAGTGGACAGCAGGCCTGCGCTAGCACATTGCCTACAGTCACATAGCAGCTGTTTGTGTATGTTACAGTTTCCGAGTGTGTATGTGTGTGTGTGTTAATGTGCTACACTCACACCTGGCCTACACCTCTCCTTAGTGAAATTCATAACCGTCAGCTTTCTCCAGTTTGCTCACTTTCCTCCTCTCCTAACAATTCTTTCTTTTTCTGTGCAAACAAGTCTTGTGCTTTTTAAAACTGTCCAAATGACAGCTGAAATATGCATTCATAAAATTCCTTGTATCTCGTTTAACCAGATACCTGCTTTATCTCAGCGCTTTCATCATGAGACTGCTTGAAAAATGTATCTGTTCTTTCCTCACCTCTTATCAAGCGATATGTCCGTTTACCGCAATTCATAATAATAATTTCATTTCACACACTTCCACAATTACGGCCAGAGGAGAAGAGCGAACAGCTCTGAGCAGTAAGCAGCGGTATCCCTCACTCCTCTTAAGTGCTGCTGATATAGTGGCCAGGATGATATTTTTCAGCTGAAGTGCTTCTCTTCTGCGGCAGGCCTGTCTTAAAGAGATTCCAGCTCATTCACCAGCGGATTAAATGCTAGTAGTTACAATGATCAATAGGTTAAGAGGAGGCCCATCCCTCTCCCCACTAATGACCTCAGTGGTAATGGGCAGTAAAATGTGAGCTGTAATAGCCTTTCCGCTAGGGCTGAGGTTTGGTAGAAGTGGACACACACACATACACACATTCGTGCAGTAAATGAGGGTGTGAAGTTGGTGTCAGTGTGTCTGTAAGGTGTGGATTTAAAGGGTTTAATTGGAACAGGCTGGTGTTGTGATTTGTCATGGCCCGAGAAGTTAGTACATTTTAGTTATTTCTTTTGCAAAGCATTTACATTTGTCAAATGTTTTAAAGTCTTTATTTGGTAGTTGGAACTGTTATAAAATCTATTTTAAAAAGTTGCTTGGTTTTAAGAATGGTTCCAACCTTTACAAATTATATTTTAAAACACAAATTAGTAAAAATGTTTTGTATGTTAGTAAAAAAAAAGTTTCTTTTTTTTTGTATGGTAATTTCAGTTAAAGGGTTAGTTCACCCAAAAATGAAAATTAGGCTGCATTTTACTCACCCCTGAGGCATCCTAGATGTATATGACTTTCTTTTTTCAGACGAATCCAGTCGGAGTTATATAAAAAATTGTCCTGGCTATTCCAAGCTCTGTCATTGCAGTCAGCGGGTGTTGCAGTGCTTCAGTCCCAAAGAAGTTAAATAAAAAGCGCCCATCCATAAAAAAAGTGTCTCACACGGCTCTGGGGGTGAACAAAGGCCTCCTGTAGTGAATCGATGCGTTTTTGTAAGAAAAATATCCATATTCAAAACCTAATAATCACTTTAATGTAGCTTGCGCCAACAGTTGTACACGGAGCAGCTCCGGGCGGATGGCGTATGAGTTCAGCGTTGAGCATGCGCCAGTGAGTCTTGTGAAAACCAACGTTTGTTTACAGGATCAAAGGAAGCAAAGTTTCCTTACTTGAGCAAAGGAAAACCAGTCTCCTCTTGGCTTATATCAAAATCCTCTGTCATTCTTCTTTACAATTCCTCGTTTTGTACTTCTAATAAGTGACCGTTGTTTTGTTTTGATCTCTCCGCTACGTTTCCGC